ACCATAATAGAATTAAACCCCTTCTTAACATATGATAACATCAAAAATAAAGGAGGAGTAATACCATACGAGTTGATAAAAAATATCAAATAATTATGTTTTTGTCCGCTTGACAAAGCTAGCAACAATTATGGCATAATTTGCAAAAAGTTCTATCTTCTCACAATCATGAAAGAAATGGGAGTTAGTTATGACTTTAATAGACAGTGCTATAAATATGAGAGCACTAATAATACATACAAATTGGTAACTAATGTTAACAAGTTTCCACTCATTCTTAATCATAAATTCTTTTGTTTACGAAACGGGATGGGTACCATCATAAATGCCGACCTCCCTATAATTTATTCATTACCTAAAATTACATAAAAATCCAATCAAGTTCAGATTCATAACTGGTGCACATAATAGTAGCATTAAACCTTAGCTAAAGAACTACACATTATATTTACGCACATAAAAAATCACTTCGTTAATTATGTAAAGTTAATACAAAACAGAAATAGAACAATTAAAACATATTGGTCTATTAGTAACATTAATATAAGTCAAGATCTCAACAATATCGCATATGAAAATCTTAAAATTACACAGCAGATTTTACAGATATGTTTACTAATTTAAACATATTTCATTATTAACAATATAAAGGAGTTGCTTAATATTTGTTTCAAAAATGCAGGTAAATTATATGTAGCCACTAATGGGTATCATGTTTTTTATACTAATGGAGAATCTATTAAAAATAATTACAGGTACTATAGAATTACAGACTTACTCTATACACAGAATATTTGTTAAAAAATAGTTATTGTACATTTGGCAACATATATTCAAACAAAACAAAGGAGTACCACAAGGAGGTAATTTCAGTCCACTGTTAGCTGATCTTACCCTCTCCGTTATGGAATACAATTATGCAATAAGTATAAGTTTAATAAAAATAAGTTATTTATTCCATACAGATATATGGATGATTATTGGTAATACATAATAAAAGTGATACTTATATAGATACACAACTAAATATTGTGTATCACAACGAACTTGAATTTAAAAAGACTCATAATAATAGTAATTCAAGCAATTACTTAGATCTTAGTATTACTGTTGAAAATGATAGGATACGTACAGAACTATATAATAAAACGGATGACTTCAGTTTCAAGGTTTACGATTTCCACATAGCACTACTAATATTTCTAATACCATAAAGGCAGCGGTTATTTACACGAAACACTTAGAATAGCTAACACTTGTACGGCACTTCAATTCATTTGTAAATAAAATGAAAGAAATGAACAATATCCTTGTAAATAATGAATATGAATCACTGTTTTGTAGTCTCCAGTGTAATAAAGTGTATATATAAAAATAAGTTCATTTGTTATAAATATGGGTTAGAAAATAATCTCAAAAAAATTGAGCATTTAATTAATCAATCATTTAACATGGTGTGAATATCTATTCACTTACATACATTTTATGATAATCCTTCACACCCTCACATTGACCTGCTCTGGTCATGGGGCAGCTAAATACTTCACTGAGTATCATATTCACGTATATATGGTAGCCATGTTTCTAATTCTGGCACTTTATACAAACGTTATAACCTAAAATTTTTCTTTCTCAGTTATATTTATATACTACATTTGCTTATGTAATGTTTTTCTTACTGCTTTCTCACATAAATCCTTCATTTCGTCAACCCCTACTCACTGATGAGCCTCTGGGGGTTGACGGAATATAGTGGTTCGTCTGAGTTAAGAGGCGAAACGAACCACAATTTATTTTGTTATAATAAATTCCTCCCAATAAAATATCTTTTTCTTCTTTTATTGGCAGAATTCTCAACCGCATAGCAGCTTTTCCTGTTCTGGTTTTATCGTGCAAATTTCTCCAGACCTTGCTGTCTTCGACAAGATGCTGTGGCTGGGAATTGATAATCAAGGAAGTGTCGTCAATTTAGCAAGCCTACTTCACGATCCACATCTTACAGAACGGAGTGTGGAAAGGGACAAAGAACGATTGTCAAGACGTTTTGTCAGAAGTTGCCAACACAAGAGCGTTGCAAACTCAGTGGCACTGTCATAGCATCGCTTACTCCAATCTCAAGTCTGCTCCAACCCAGGAAACTACCAGATGTCAGTGTGCCCTTCTGTGCCGCTAGTCAGCAAGGGTTTTTTTTGTCGTAGTCCGTTGTCATTAAATCTCCGATCTCTCGTATTATCATCAAGTTCAAGAGCAAATCTCACAGAGATTGCGAGAGGAATGATTGCAGATAAAGCATGAACATGGACCGCATACTTTCCAAGCACTAGCATCGACAAATCAGTGGACGAGACGCATGGAGGGAAGCATAAGAGAAGTAAGGATACTTACTTAACAGCAGAAATGGCAGTACGTTGAAATCAGAACCTTTCCACGAATATGCACTTTCCCTGCGACGATTCCGGGAACAAATCTAGTCAGAAATACTCAACTTTAAGAAATGATGGCGCTCAAATCGACAGAGATTGATCCTCCGAAAGAAGAAGTAGAG